CTGCTAAAAAATGGCGTCTGATTCTGTCATTGACTTTGATGGAACTAAATGAAAACGTGATAAATTAATGTCTGATATTTACAGGCTCCCGCTAGACGGCGTACTCGAGCGTTGCGATCGCGAATAGAAAAACAATACCTTTACGACTTTCATTAGCTTTATGCTGATGACAACCGAAACAAACTGGAAATGAACGAGGAAAAACTGGATCCTACCACGTGATTTTTCAGTCAATAAAAATACTCCGACAATAAAAATCTTTTCACCTGACATGTAATACTAATTTGAAATAATGGAATCAACAACAAAAGACAATCTCAAAAATATTTTTTTTAAAAAATTTTTATTTTATTTTACTTTGCATGTCTTTTTTCTCTTCATTTTCATGCATTGTCATCCAATTCTGAACTGTGTGCCAAATTTGAAGTTTGTAGCTAGTCGGGAAGTTAGTTTAAAATCGATTACAAAATTCCACCCGGACAGACATACACGAAGGCAAGTTTATATAAACGTGGTAAAAATACGGAATTTTCACAGAAATTATGTAACGCTTTGTATATTAGACAGAGCCGCGGTGGCTCAGAGGATAGGAAGCGTGTCATTTACTAAGGTCACCCACGTTCAAATCCCAACAATGGCTGTTCGATATGAACTACACGGCTTACACCAATCACGGTGTTGATGAAAAATATTCTCAGTGGTAGTGAGATCATGGGTAAACTCTATCGGGTTAACCGTGACAGCTTTTCATGATATTCTTCGTCTGGGTTGACCTCAAAATAACAAGACTATGGAGTTAAACCCTGATTGTCGTAAACTCGAAATTGAGTGTGTGGTACCACACCGATAATAAAATAAAGTACACATTAAGCCAATATTCCTTTCAGTACTTCTTTAACAAAATGATATAACTGAACTCAAATGTTTAAATACTGGCGATAATTTCGCGATAAATGAATGTAATCAAACTCAACTTTTGAAATACTTAATTTCATTAAATTATTTAAACTGTTAAAAAGTTACATAGCAAAATATGTCATAATGCTCTCATACAATCATGAAAATCTTTTAAACTGAGAATATAATTTTGTTTTTAATATTATTCATAATTCACGAAGAAAGCTACAATGTCCCTGGAGCCTACTTTTCATTAATGTAGACTTTATGCCTAAGTAGTCCCGGAAATCTTAGTTTTGTGCTATATAGGGAAGAGGGGGGCACATGTGAACATGGTATGTTTTACCAATATGCTTTGAAATAAAAAATCTCGAAAAATTTTCAATTGATGGCAGAACTAGTCCTACCTCTCTGCAAAACTTTCAGAACAATGAGACATTTTGTTGTTCTATTCTGACAATTTCTTTGTATCAGCTGGTGTTGTATATATTATAACCACTCGCTTCTTCAAGTGAAAGCTTAGTATAAATCAACTAATGAACTAAAATTAACTTTTGAAGACCATTATATGAACATTCAGGTAAGTTTATGACAATTATTCTTTTTTTTTTTACTCAATTAAACTTTCTTTATTTTTCAAGTTAGGTTTAAGAAGGATGATGGGGCAATTGTGAACAAAACATCTGGGGCAGATGTGAACAGTTCACATGTGTCCATACATAGTATTAAGATTATTATCCTCATGATATTATAAGTTTAAAAAATACGTTTGCATTTAAAATTACTATTTTTTAGTTTTCCATAATTTAGTTATTAATTTTTCCTTAATTTTTTTTTATTAAATGGTTTATCGCGCATTGCACATATTAGCTGATACACCTAAGAAAGATAGAATTGCTAAAGCTACAAATGGAAAGATAGAAAAAATGAAAAAAAAAGCATAAAGTATTAGAGAAGAAAGAAAAAGGCCCATTACAACTCCCGTGGAACATGAACTTGAGAAAAACTCAACAACGGAAAAATTATTGTACAGCTGAAAAATTTTTTTCTTATTGACAGTACTGTTGTAGAATTTAAATTCACAAAGTAAGCTACAACCCCTTCTGTATAATGCCTATCTATATCTGTTATACTAAAGACTTTTTTCTTTGAAATATGATGATTGCTTTATGTTTTTAATTTTGTTCATATGTGCCCCAGGAATGTTCACATGTGCCCCCAATAGGGGCACATGTGAACAATTGAAGTCATTTTTCTAAAATATCATAAAGTAAAGAAATATTTCCTTGAAAAATCTCAAAAAATTCCATAAGAAAAAGAAAAGACTATTTAAACATATGGACTTCTTTACTATAAAAAATTGATGATATTTTTTGAAAAATGAAGAAATAAAAAAATTTGTTCACATGTGCCCCCCTCTCCCCTACTAAAAATATTGGTATATTTTCGAAACAAGCCCTAAATAAACAAGTTATTGCACATATACTAATACTCCTTTCATACAAACTTTAATATGCAATTTTCTAGTAAAAATTGAATAGTTAATAATTTTATATGGTTGAAAATCTTGTATTATCATAATTTGTGTTCTTCTGTACAGCTTTTGCAACAACATACTAAATCCCAAAAGCATAAATTCTCTTTTAGAGCCCCTTTTATTTTTTTTAATTGAAAATTCATCGTTAATACTGAGAAAAAATAATGCAGCTTTTCTGTAACAAGTGGGCTAAAGTTACTCCGGTTTAGTGCATTTAAAAAATCCGGTGTTTAGATTTAAAAAAACAATGAGCCTTACAATTATTTTCTTTTACAAGTTTCTAAAAAATTCTCACGTCATATTAATCCTGTTTTTCTTGCTTGATTATACTTTTTTAAGTGATAAGGGCTTGCTGGGAAAAGATTGTCTGTTTCTAAAATAAAAGAAAATGCTATTAAAATATTTCCTGCTATGTAAATTATTGACGTAAGGCGATTTCGCAACATTAGATAAACTTCTGGAGCATTATGGCATTTTTAAAGGATATTCAACCTATGAATGATCAATAATTCCTTTCGATAATTATTATAATCTACACATCAACCGGATCAACTGGGACATTTAACATGAATGTAACAGGTGGTATCTCTCACATTTTGGAGATAACAATTCTCTTAGAAATTTAAAGAAAGTTCCAACCTGCTTCTCAGCAGTGAAGAAAGCACCACCAACCATGAAAATTTATATATTCTTATGTCTGATCGGCGTGGCATGTAAGTCTTCTTTACTTTATATTTAAAAGAAATAAATTAAAATTTATTTGCGAAGCTATCCGATGATAAGAAATAAAAAAATCCTTTTATAAAACATTTAACTAATATGTGTAAAAATAATTAAAAACATATGTTAAAAAAATATTTCAATAACTTAAGCTCAAAAGCTTCTAACTAAATTATGATCAAAAATATTAAAATAGCCTGTGCTAAAATAATGCAAGTAACATACGTCAAAAATATTTAAGTAACCTGTATTTACAAATATCTAAATAACATAAGACAAAAAATATTTAAATACCATGTGTTCAGAAATATTTAAATAAGATAGGTTAAAAAGAATGTTAAATTACATACGCTAAAAATATCAAAATAACATATATTCAAAAATTTATAAATACCATATGTTTAAAAAAAATTAAATAATATATTTCCAAAAGTATTTATATAACTTGTGCTCAGAACATTAAATAACTTATGCTGAAAAATATTTAAAATGAATGTGTTGAAACACATTTAAATAACATGTTTCAGAAATATTTAACTATCATATGTCCGCAAATTTTTAAATTACGTAGATCAAATATATTTATATGTATGTTCAAAATAATCAAATAACACATATTAAAAAAAATACTAAAATGACATATGATAAAAATATTCTTCAAAATTTTTTAAAAATCAAAAATATTTATGCACCTTATGTTCAAGACTAATTAAATAACATTTGTCAATAATGTTTGTTCAAAAACATTTTAAATAACATATGTTAAAAATATTTAAATTACATACGTCAAAAAATATTAATGTGCATACGTAAAAAAAATTTTTGAATAACGTATGTTCACAAATATTTAAATAAGTTATGTTTAAAATTATCTAAATACCTTAAGTAGAAAAGTATTTTTAAAATTCGTGTCAAAAATTATTTATATATCATCACATATGTTTAAAAAATTTGAATAACATGTGTTAAAAAAATTAAAGCAATATGCTGAAAATATTCTGCAATATTTTTTTTTTAAATCTAGAACTTTGAAAGTCAGTTTTTTTCTTTTTTTTCACCAAGAGACAAATTTTTATTGTCTTGTTAATTATCTATTCCAGACCATGAAATTCCAATGTATTATTACAAATTTATTCATAATCAAAACTAAACGGAATAAAGATATTTCAGAAGGACTAATCAAGAAAGCCTTAGTTAACTTTATTTGTGAATTTAAATTATAAATTATAAATAATAAACTTACAAAATTGCAAAAAAAAGGCGAATTAATATTGACGCAAGTGATGGTTAATGGTACTAATATTGCCTTAATAGGTACCTAATTTACTAATATAAGTAATGTCTAATAGGTTTTTTCAGCTTCCGAAATATCCAAGAACCAAAAAAATTGCCATCGCATTGCTATGATCACTTGTTACCGATTCGTCAAATTATTTCTCATCTTCCTTCTTCCAAATTGACTTTTATAAACTCCACATTTCAAGTCATGGATTAAAACAAACTGCATCAGTTGATGATTCTCTAGCGTGCTTGAGGAGTAGAATTGAATTGAATTGACAGTATGCCTTAATGGCACAAGGTCCAGAAAGGACATGCTGCTCCAAACACACGGTTTTGCTTGAAGAGCAGAAGAAAGCATTGATTACAATTATGAAAGACGTAAAATTGAGAAAATGCTTAACAGACCCACCGTCATACGTGACGTTTAATAAAAATCTTTTGTTTGAGCACGTTTTCCAGCATGCCATTTATTCCAATTTAGATTCTTTTTTATTTCAATAGAGGTGTCCAAACTGACGTCACTTCATTACCTGTACATTGGAAATACCTCAATGATCAATCAGTTTCAGAGCAACCAATAGGAATATGTTTCTATTGGCGAAGAATATATAATGTGACTCACTTATATATTCTTTGCTATTGGGACGGGAATACGAATTGCCAATCAGGACGAAGCAAATAACCAGTTGCCATTCGTAACCACAAAATTACGACACTTGTTTGATTTTTTCCACTCAAGTGATATAATTTATCCCTACATTGGATACCTCTATAATTTTGGTTAGAAATTAATATTTTTTAAAGAGGAATTAATTTAGAGATTTTAATAATTGTTTCAAATACTTAGGTATTATACTTTAAATACTTAAGCACTAGAACAAATTTCAAATGGGTTTAACTGAAAGAACAAAGCGAGTATGGTTTATAAAGAAAACCATATAAGATTGCATAGAAACCGTCGGTGTTGGGATGCACTTACAGACAAAGGGTGAAGTCCACCAGAAAATAGGAAAAAACTGTTAGCTCAAGAAGTAGCAATTTTTTTTCTTCTTTTTTTCTTTTTATCTTGTTGTGCTGCTTTCTTATAAATATGTTTTTTTATGACTTTTGCAACTATTTATTTATGGTTGTGGTGTTGAAGTTGCACTAGTCGAAAAATTTGCGTCCTCACTCTTTTAAGCAACAGAATTTTAGAACATCATCCGTTTTCCGAATGATTAAAAAAACTGCTTAAGACTTACTTTGCAGCTTGAAAGCATGTGTTTCGAAGCCACAAGATTTTCAATGTTTATTTCAACTTTATATAGAAATTTATTTTTCTTCCCATTTGTATAGGGGGCCGCCGCCGAAACCCGATGGAAAACCCAGATCTGTATCAAGGTGACATTGCTGGTGTTGAAAACATTTTCGTAAGTAGTATATTTTTTAAAAAAAACGCTCCCTTAATGTACAATTATATCAAAATAGATGTTGACGTTAAGAAAATAATAAAAACTAACTGCATGAGATACTTTTATAGAAAGACTGCGAAGTGCTACTTTCTTTAATTTCGTTATTAAAGAAAAATGCGCAGTCAAAAAGTTAACAGACCCTATTATTTTTGTTGTTGTTAGGCATCATACTCGGGTCTAGTCGTACAGTTCAGTACCATGAAAATAGCAGGTATGCAGGGTCCGGAACTTTTGGTGTACTTTTGTCTGAGTTCTGCTATGTCTTCTTCAACTTTAAAAGATCACTTCACTATGATCGCAATAGTCTGCATAACAGTAAATGAATTAAATAACTAGACTAGTAATACGTCTCGTGTACAATTTTGATAAAATTTGATACACTAATGCCTAGTGGATGCTTGTTTTATTTCATTTGTTGCTACACACTTTTAAATTTATGGGCTCTTTAGCAAAGTATGGCTCATAATTCCTTGAAGAACAGATAGCAGAATTTAGAGAAGAAAATCAGAAAGATATAAATTTCAAAACGAGATTGGAACCTCTGCGCTACAAAGCGTTTGTCTGAACGAAAAACAAACCATCGAAGTATTTTAAAAAAGACATTTAAAAGAATGATGATTGAGTGAATTACGATCACATCTTGAGCTTTTCTTTAGACTATTTATCGGCGAATTGTGACTGACAAACTACATTCACTTTTTTTGTGCAATTTGAATGGTGCTTGAATTTGAAATTGATGGATTGAGTAGACGTTCCGATGGCGTGAATTTTTAATGCCATCAAATGAGATGATTAAGCCAGAATTTACTGCTTTCCACAAAGAAAATTTTAAGACAGCTTAAATTACTTTTTTTTACGACGTGATAATTGTAATAATAATTTGACATCTGAAATAGAGCTTATTTAGATATAATTAGGTTATTACAACTTCATAAAATTTATATTTTTTTAAGTATTCTTTTTTGTGCATGTGCCAAAGCTTGGGTTTGTTCTTATCCTCTGTTTGACTGAACTGAGTTTCATTTTTAAAGATAAATAAAATCAGAGAATATTTTGCAGTTTAACCAATCATGAAATTCTAAGAGAATGTTCTTTTTTTTTGCTGAAAACTTTTGTTTAAGTGTAAAAAACTTGTAACTTTAAAATTCTATGTTTAATTAATCCTATTTAAACATTTTTAGGCATATTGCGATTATAACAGATAGAAGAATTCCTGTAACTAACGTAGTTAATATTTGGCTCAAATTACGGTAAGAAGTACAGGGTGCCCGTACTTTTTAACGAATTTTTCTTTTCATCAAAAATATGTTTTAGATGGTTTAAATCCCCTATATGTTCTCCATGGCATTAAAAACGGAACAAAAATTTTATGTACTGTAAAATCACTGAATCACTCTAATTAAATAAATATTACTGTAAAAATTACGTTATAATGTTTAATAGTGAAATAGATTATACAGATGTGTTGGTACTTTATACCGTAATTTGATCCGGAATTTTACAGTGTATAATGCAAGTTCTGGTTGGATTTGCAAACCTTTGAGCAAAAATCATTACTCAGCATAAAAATTAATATTTTATCAAAAAATTAGCTATTTATTAGTCTATATAACTGTTCACAAAATAAATGAAAATTCAACATTGTATTTTTTTAATATGGTTTTAAAACAAAATTATTAACGGTTAAATAAAACTTTAAATATCTCCAATTGGAAGATCAAGTTAAGGGACAGAGCTGTCAAGAAATATATTATGCCGCTGTCTAAAGCCCACCCTGGGTTGTAAATAACTCACTGAGAAATTTGGAATTTACAAATTAGGGCGAGGAAAAAAAATTTGAATCAATTTTAAAATGAAACTTAAGCTTTAATTACCAGTACTAAAGCACTTTCTAAGGAAGCAGATATTTCAGTACTTTTAAAGTAATTTATTGTTGTTATCATCATCAGGACAGAAATGGTGTGCCCTTAAAAAGAATGCAATGGCCACAAGGTATCATTCCTTACAGAATCGACCCTGGATTAGGTAAGTGCTTTTATTATGTGTTTTTATCACAATGTTTTCACTGTAAATGTAATAAAATTTCATAATGAGATGTTTCTATATTAATTTTTTAATAGAGGATGCACTCTAAACACCATAATTGCCACCAATTTTTTATTTGTTTACTTTTTTTAAGTTCTTCTCGCCATCAGTCTTCTTGTCCCCTGGCTTTTGACTTGGGATAATACTTACACTCGTCCTCTCAATTTTGCTAACTCGAAATCTGCCAGGCAAAGTCTTTTTTGGTCTTCTCACTTTTTTCCTGCCATCAGGGGCCCAAGAGGGAAAAACGAGTGTTTTTTTTCCTTGGCGTTCTTGGGATATGCCCCCTTTATTTTAATCTTCTCTCGTTGATTTCTTCTTCTATTATAGTGAAGTTTGTTTAGCTGTTCGCTAAATTAAAAACTGTACTTTTGTAGTTAGGGACTGAAGCTATTATTTAACAAACCATAAATAGAAGGTCTTAAAAATTTTTTTAATTGTTTTCTGTGGTAGTAAAAACTTTTTAGATGCACCAAAGTTTTTTCCTTGAAGATAATACTTTTCTTACCTAATTTTTCCATTCCTCCAATAATATTAAAAACGTAGAGTGGAAGTTTGCAAATAACACATCTTCTTTCATTTAACTCACTTCTGACTGAAGGTAATTGATAAACTTTGCCAAAAGAAATTCCATCCGTTACTTTTGCCTTCTAATTAACATCTGCTGCTGTCCTAGTTTTATTAGATCACCTTTTGTGGGGGTTTTCGAAAGATGTTAGAAAGATAATTATCCAAGATGTTAAAATTGCATCCGTTGTCTATCCTTTGAGCCATATGATTTGCCTATGGCCGTTTTAAGTTTTTAATTCCCTGAATGGCATCGAAGACTTTTGTTTATTGCCTTATCAGCGCCACTAGCTTACAGGCTATTCTTGAATACTGAGTAAACATTTTTCCAGACGTCTTTGTGTTGTTTTAAACCCTTGCATAGATCTGTCAGTGAGAAACCTAGTCACTGTTCCAATTCGAGTAATGCATGAAAAGTGCAAGTCTTCCACTGAGAATCCAAATCATTGCTTTATAAGTTAGTTCAGATAATACATAAATAATGAGGCCTGCTACTGAGAGTACAAGTCACTGCTCTATAAGATACTTCGGCTAATACATAGATAATGCAGGTCTGTTACAGAGAGCTCAAATTACAGCTTTGAAAATTTGTTAGAATGATACATAAATAATGCAGGTCTCCTACAGAGAGTCCAAGTCACTGCTCTATAAGATAATACGGCTAATACATAATTAATGGGGGTCTGCTACAGAGAGTCCAAGTTACAGCTTTGTAAATTTGTTAGAGTAAAGCATAAATAACGCAGGTCTGCTACAGAGAGTCCAAGTCACAGATCTATAAATTTTTTAGGGTGATACATAAATAATGAGGCCTGCTACTGAGGGTTCAAATCATAGCTCTATAAGTTTGTTCATGTAGTGAATAAATAATGCAGGTCTGCTACAGAGAGTCCAAGTCACAGCTCTATAAGTAAGCTCCAGTAATACATAAAAAATATGGGTGTGAATGGCCAAGTCTCTTCTTCACAAGTACGGGTAGTACAATATGATAATTTTTTCCCCTGAGAGAGACAATTTTTGTAGTATCACGCTTTGTTTTCCACTTTCAACTAAATAAATCAACCTAGATGTAAGGAAAAAAAACTATTTTTTAACCATTATCCACTACTGTAATGATGATCTGCTTCAACTAAAGGACTTTTTAAGCAGGCTTCAAACTTTCTATTCTTGTTTTGTGTTCACCATTTTCACATTAACCTTCTGTATTCCAATCATTTTAAGTGAACTTTATAAAAACCATTATATTTTAATACTGGCTCATTCCAATTACAGGTTACTTAAGAACTAGGATTCTACAAGCCATGAAGCACATTGAAGATAAAACGTGCATTACTTTTATAAGGCAAACCACACAATCTGGTTACATAAGAATTTTTCCTGGAGACGGGTAAATGCCAGACTCTTTATATCAGTAGCTTTTTTGTATTGCATCGCTTTATTGTATCAAAAGATTGTGCCCAACATATTACAAAATATTTCCAAAATTGAGTGTTACTGAAAAAAAAATGTGTACCAGTTAATAAATTATTACTATTTACTAATTAAATTAAAATTTATTGCTAAATGTGATACATATTTACTAATATTTATTAATTACATTTATTAATTTAATTTTTAATAAAAGTCATGATAAATTATACATAGTTATCAATAAGAAACATTATTATTATAAATCAAGGGTAAATATGTATCATCATTAAACAGTAAAAATCAGCAATAGAAATACTTTAATGGTTCAACGGTAAGGGAAGTATGTTTAACCATAAAAATATATTGAAATAACAACTTAAAATAAAGAAAAATAATAATAAAAGTAACAGCGATTGAAATCATCAACACTCATACGAAAACACTGAGAGATTGTTTTAGTGCTAATCTTACTCCCTTTTCGGGCAAACCGGGTCCATGAAAATCAAAGGAACCCATATTTCTTCTCCACTACAATTGTTGCTCATGACATTCCATTATTTTCATTTGTCTTATATAAGATAACTATTATTATTATCAATGTTCACGAAACTTGCCAATCTAGTTTTCTCTACGTTTAGCTCTTAGCACCAATGGTACAGTTATACCAATTTTAAAAATATGTATTAAACTTTTCAGAGTCATCACTAAAATGTTTTCATATTGCTTGAAATTATAATAAACTAGATTTCCAATGAAAAAGGAAATAGAGAGAAAATTATCATTACCATAGTTCATTAAACTTGCCAATCTATTATTCTTTTCGTTTAGCCCTTTGTGAGAATGCTTCAGTTATACCAATTTTATAAGTGTGTTTAAAACCTTTCCAAGTTATTACTAAGGAGTTCTTATGTTGCTTGAATAAACTACATGTTCGGACATTTCCTAATGAATAAAAAGTAGAAAGAAAAATTAGTAATGGAGAATTTTAAAAAAATATATAATACCAATTCGATACACATTCTTAGTGTTTAATATTTTATTAATCTTTTTTTTAATTGCGTTTAATTCAACAAAAATTAAAGAAATGGCAAGAAAATTAACTAAGGAAACTTTCCCTTTTGAGTTCTTTCAAAAAACTGACTTTTTACATTATTATTGTTAAACAAATTTTCAAAGCTTCCAAGACTGTATAGTGACTTATCTCCAAACATAAGTTAAATAGATATTATTATTACTTTATTAAAAATTTAAATCACTCCAAAAATATACAAATTGAAAATAACAGTCAACATATTTTGTGCACTCAAAAATAGGCACCCATTTACAAGATTTGGAAGACATGAATAAGAAAAACATAAGTGAATTGAAATATAAAACAATTATGTAACTATAACGATTGTGATTTGACGTACAAAAAATAAACCTTTTATGTTCCAAATCACTTTTATTTCTTTTCATTTTCACCTGGCTAGTCTTGTAATTAAGCACCGATTTTCGAGCTCAAGAAACCTGTCTACTTTTATTTTCATTTTTTTCATTTTTGAAGTGAATGAAGCTTTTAATTAGACAATTATCTTACCGTTTCAGACTCTTGGAATTATTAGTTTAAGGTATTATTTTTCACAAAGAGACCATCACTATCCTTTTTCGCCTCGACTACTGTATCTCACAAATATTCCGTTCCATGAATTAGTTATCAAATAATGATGAAATCACTTTCATCAAATATTAACTTCATTCAGAAAATATTTAAACAAGTGTATTTTATTTAATCGGGATAAAAATATGATTCGTATTTCAACAACGTAATACCGATTCCTTTTCCCCGAAAAAGGCTACACTTGTTGGCTAAATTTTATTTGATCTACAGGTGCTACTCCCACTGGGGTCGAACTGGAGGCGCTCAACCAGTATCTCTTGGTGATGGTTGTGAACCATTGGGAACCATCATTCATGAATTGAATCATGCCATTGGATTTGATCATGAACAAAACAGATCAGACAGAGACAGCTACCTCATTATATTTTGGGAAAACATTATGAAGGGTAAGATACCTATTAATTGAATAATCTTTCCATTCTTAAAATTAATATCTAGAGATAACACTATACTCTGCAGAGAGTTAAGAAAAAACTCTGATCCTATAAAGATACAGAGATATAAGATAATATTCAGTTAACTAATCTTTCTTTTCTTAAAATTAATATCTATTAATACACATTAATAACTACTATTTTTACTTCTAAAATCAAAATGTATGTATATGCATATTTCTCGTAGGTGGTACCATAATTTCGAGTATTTCTATGGGCAACACTATAGTTATAAATTATTTTGTTAGGTTGCCTTAAAAAAATTTGTAATTCGTTAAGTATTTATTCAGATTGATTTTGTTAAGCTGTCTTAAGTAATAATTTAAGTAGCGTTGAATAGTTAGTAATACCTTGTGTATTTTTTAGAATAATTTTGTGTTTTGCGTAGAGATAAAAATCTTAGTTACGAAGTAATTATTTAGATTCATTTCTGATCCTTTCAAAAATTGGTGTAGAAATGTTTAACATAAACTGTGTTATGGTGAAGCATGTACATGTTGTACAGGATAATTTTCACAGGAGAACCAAGGTGGTCACTAAAGATGAATAGTTAATAATATTTTTTTAATTATTTGTAATAATTAGCAGTCTATTTTTTAACACTGAAAAAGGTGATATAGAAAACATTTTCATTTTTGCCTAATTCTTGAATAATAATTGAAGCTTTTCATTGGAAATGTTCATAACACCGCTTGGTTTAAGAAGAAATTCATTAAAATCTAGAACTTTTTTTACTTATCTATAAATTATTTTTTTTTACGAAAAAGATTCCTTTTTATTGAAAATTTTCGGAGACAGATGTTGTGATAACTTAGTACAAAAATAATGTTCAATGACGAAAGTTAAGGGGGTTTAAAATTACCCAAAGATGAATCATTTGATTTTCGGACTGCCAGTTTCAAAATTAAGATTTTAAGTCTAAATAATGAGAAAAAGAATATAAGTAACAATAATATTATTAGGAAACACTACAAAAAATATTTTCAATAAGAAAATAGGCCCTTTCTTAAGTGTAAAATAAAAATCTGAGAGCAAACTTCTTAATTTGGTTATATATGTAAGTCATTTTTTTTCCTCAATGATATAGCTCAGTTCCCTTATTTCTGAAGATAAAAATGATTTTTTTAATTTTTCTTTACTTTTACTAATTAAAAGCTCTACCAGTTTTTTAAAAAATCATTTTAAAAACGATATAATTGTGAGTATTAAAAATAATATCTGTCTCCTCTAGTCTGTCTTCTTCTGCCCCAGTAAATAATATCTGTCTCTTGTAGCCTGTCGTTTCTGCCCAAGTAAATAATATCTGTACCTTCCAGTCTGTCTACTTCTGCCCCAGTAAATAATATATGTTTCTTCTAGTCTGTCTTCTTCTGCCCCAGTAAATATTATATGTCTCTTCTAGTCTGTCTTCTTCTATCGCAGTTAAATAATATCTGTCTCTTCTAATCTATCTTCTTCTTCCCCAGTAAATAATATCCTTACCTTCTAGTCTGTCTTCTTCTGCCTCAGTAAATAATATCTTAACCTTCTAGTCTGTCTTCTTCCTCCGCAGTAAATAATATCTGTCTCTTCTAGTCTGTTTTCTTCTGCCCCAGTAAATAATATCTGTCTCTTCTAGTCTGTCTTCTTTTTCCCTAGTAAATAATATCTTCACCTTCTAGTCTGTCTTCTTCTGCCTCAGTAAATAATATCTGTACCTTCTGTAAGTGATAAAAACATTCCCGCAACAGCCTGTTTGCGGATCAGAGAATCATGGAAGTTAAGGCTCCTCAATTTTGTAACCAACGGAAAGATAGTGGCAATGTGGTTAGCATTGCGCACAGGCTGTCCTTACTTCTCACACAAGCTGGTATACATCCAACTGAAGCTTGGTCGACTGCCAATGGGGATCGAACCTTAGTCGACCTTTTAAACTAAGCATCTTATATTTTATCAAGTAGTTTTACTTATCTGCAAAAGAAGTCCCTTTTCTTTTCTGTAAGTGATATCGCACTGTTTTCTTTTTAGGATTTGAAGACCAGTTTGACAAACTTCGACCCAGTCAGGAGCGATCAATTAACAGCTTCGATTATGACTCTATCATGTTGTACGGTGAGATGGCTTTCTCAAGAGATGGACGCTCCAAGACCATGATTGCAAAGCAAAGAGGTATACGACTGATTGAGCCATACGACAAGAGGGGACTCAGCAAGAGTGACGCCTACAGGATAAATGTCCTCTATGATTGTCCAAATACTAGATAATTCTTTTCATTTATGATTTTGTTTACAAGCATAAGAAATAAAAAATTCATAAAATAAGGCCTCCATTTTCTTATAACTTTGAAATACCAACAAAAAAAAATTTATACATTTCTTAACTTCGATACTATTTTACCCTATTTGTAAAAAGCAATTCATCCATTCTACCAGATGCTCCGAAATTGACAAACAATTTAAAATATGAATTTAAAAATAACAGAGGAAAACCGCACAGAGGTAATGTTTGTTAAAATCCAGTAGATAATTATTTCCTCTAATTAAAATCAATTTTAAAGTGCGTCGGCAGATAGCACTGCTATATCTGGTTTCCGACCTGGAACGCTAACGAATTTATCTTCTTTCGTTTTTCTTGAACTGATTTTTAAAGTTGCCGTTTAATTTCATAACACCTATTACTAGAGATCATTTTAGATTTAAAAAAAATTGGAGCTCCAAAATTTCGCAATCTCTATCTAGAAAAAATTACTTTAATTTTAAGTTACAATAATTTATGTAATAAAAATTGTTTTTTATTCTCGTAAAAAAACATAAGTTATCGATCGTGTATAATAAAGTCTATATGTTCAGTCTGTATGGTAGATTTTTCTTCTTTTTCATTTAAAATTTTAAAATAAATCTTGATAAATCTTTTCAAAAAATCTTGATAAATCTTTTCAAAAAATCAACTGACACAAAAGAAGCCATAAACCGACTGTCTTTAAAATTACATATTTTTGAAATCATTATAAATCTTGAAGTAGAAAAACAATGAACTTTAAGAGACTTGTGTTAATATTTAAATAGAGAAGAAAATTTAGAATCAAAATTGTGATGGCATGTCTTCGGATCGTCCTGAGGGATGTTTCCCAGACCGTCGCCAATAGCCCATTGTGCAGCTCTAGTGCGACGTAAATGAACTACAACAGAGAAGAAAATTACTCTAATTTTCTAATATTTCTAAAATTACTCTAATAGAGACGGAAAAGATTGGCGGAAATAAAAAACCAGTTTTTTTTCTTTCCTTTTTGTTCTTGTGAGAGTATTAGGTGTGTTTCCTTAGGAATCAACTTTAAACTACATCCTTAAATACGTTGGCTTTAAATAATATTATTGGTATATAATGATAATTTTTATAACAATTAACATATCTGCTTATTTAATTACTGTTTCCATGGACTTTAACGAATTCAATTTAAAATAAAAAAAATTAACCAAATAATAAGTTGATTTTGTTTTAAGAGTAGTAGGGGAGAGTGGGGTCAATTGTAACAGGGTACGATTGTAACAGAGCAAAACTTTCGAGTGTCGGGTTCTAGATTTGGTTCCTAAGTGGCACACAAGGTGTATTTAATAAATCTACATGTACACACCTGCTGGCAACCATTTTTATGTACTTTTGAAAGAGTTACATCACAAAAGATATTTTCACGCTACGTAAGTACTTTTTTTGGTATTAGAATATTATACTGTAACAAAGTAATTTTGCTTAAACAAATAAAAACTATTAACCGAATATGTAAGTGGACACCTTAATTAACATTTCAAGAAAAAAAGATTAGTTTTGTTAATTAACTAGCATTGTTGTTAACAAATGAAGCTGAAATGGCGTCTTGGGGACAATTGTAACAATAAGTAAAGGGACGATTGTAACAGCTGAAAATAAATAATCTTATGTTTACAAGCCATTACTTAACTCTTTAAGAACCACCAATAGTTTCCTATATCATTTATATTATGTTGCATGAGCATTATTTTATTTGTCACCTTTCACAGCATAAATTAAAACTTAAAACCCCTTAAAGTTAAAGTTTAACCCTTTAGGTCTCTGCTCATTATTATTTTTACTCCTAAAATATCACTACTATTTTGATCAATAATAAAATCTATCACAATTATGATAATATGTATAATTAACTATGTTGTAGTTGAATTTATGAACTGTTACAATTAACCCCGTAAGTGGGGACAATTGTAACAAGTGCACGACTATCAAAAATTGCTAATAACTAATATAATAACATTTAAAATAAGGTATTTATTTTTTTTTCTAGTAGAGGATAGTCTACTTTAGTCGTCGGTCAATTAATACTAATAATATATTGGATTTTTTGTTAGTTAAAAATGGTTAAGTAAAAAATGTTGCAATTGACCCCACTCTCCCCTACTTAATTGCATATAGATTCTTTGAAAAAATTCAGTTAAGAAAAACAAAACTAAATTTGAGATAGAATGGAAAATTCCTGCAACTAAGCTACCTAAACCACTTTTTATTTATAACGAAACCTACCAGCAAAAGTGGCTTATACTTAATTGTTATTTAAGGTTTAGTTAATGATTTCGTCTTTAAATTAATTGGTTTTAGAAAATAATCGTATAGAATGGTCATTTTTATACCAATGAACGTATCCGTTTATTTCTTTACTATTTCGGAGAATTTTAACGAATTCAATTTAAAAAAAGAAAAGATTGACTAATACAGTAGCAAGAGAATTATAATATAAAAATCTCTTATATTATAATTCTCTTGCTACTGTTTTAATCAATCTAAGTAAGAGTGAACTATAAAAAATATCGGATCAAATTACGATGTAAAATACCTGCACTTTGGGTGCATCATCCGTAAAATTTATTTTCATCGTATTCTTAACAATAAAATTTGTTTAATTAGAGTGATCCAGTGATTTGGCGGTAATTATTACTGTAAAAATTTCGGCCTTTCAGATTTTTTTGTTCCGTAACATGTATCAGTAAAAAGAACCGGCTGAATGCCCGTAATTATTTTGATCCGATTTATATATATATTTGATAGATTAATTTTTCCCGGAATATTTCACTCTGTAATTCTTATTAACTCATAAATTCTTTGAAAAACTTCGTTAAGAAAAATAAAACTAAATTTCTTGATTAAAGGGAAAATTCCGGCAACTAAACTGCCTGAACCACATTTTTTATAACGAAACCTATCCACAAAAAATTGGTTTATACTTATAATTCTGATTTAAGGTTGATTTTATGATTTCGTCGTTAAATAAATTGGTGTTAGAAAATATTCGTATATAAAGGTAATTTTTATACCAATGAGAGTATCCATTTATTCTATTACTATTTCCGAGAATTTTTACGAGTTTAATTTAGGAAAAAAAAAGATTGACTTAAAACAGTAGCTAGAGGGTTAACTTTCATAAGAGTGCACTGTAAAAAATTCCGGATCAAATTATGGTATTAAATACCAGCACTTTGGGGCGCAACATCCGTAAAATCTTTTTACAGTAAAATCCATTTTTACCGTAATCTTTACAATAAAATTTGTTTAATTAGAGTGAGCCAAGGATTTTACGGCAATTATTACTGTAAAAATTACGGTATATCACATTTTTTTGTTCCGTAACATGCATCAATAAGAAGTACCGGCACCCTGAGTACCGGTAATTTTTACAGTAAAATTATCCAGAATATTTCACTGTGTATAACACTCAATTAGTCATAAATTCTTTGAAAAACTAACTAAATTTCATGATTGAAAGGAAAATTCCGATATATATATATATATANTTCATTTTTAAAAGACCTTAATAGCAAGAAAGTTAACTATATAAATAAACTAATACAAAATACTAAGTACTTACATGGCTTTCTCAGCATTACGAGCCTGCAATATTAAATAAAAAAATTTTTAATAATGAATACGAATATATATATATATATATAGAATATATATCGGTATTTTCCATTCAATCATGAAATTTAGTTAGTAAAAAACTTCTATTAATCTTTTTATATTAGTTTCTTTGTTATAAAACTTCACAACCTAATTAATTATTCAAGTCGAAACACTTTCTCCTACTTTTAAAAAGCCACATCCTATTATTAAATCTATTTTTGGCACAAGTATGCATAATTAAACGTAAAGACTTTTTTCCCTTTTCTCTTTGTGGGAATCGCGCGACCATTTTCTTAAACCAATAGTAATTCCTAAGATTTCCCTTTTTCCCGCCTTTGATAGAAAATGTTTTGAATATACTATGTGAAGCTAATAAAATATTTTTTGCCTTCCAACTGCTGTCTGCGTGGCCTAATAACGCTAACCGTGACTGCTACCCTTTCAAGCCGGCTGGATTTATTTGCAGTTGGTTTGGCCCTTTTTTTTTTCACTGGTTTCACTTTAAAAATGCTCTTTTCTAATATATAAAAATAAATTAATAAAAAGAAAAAGTAACGGGAGAGCACTTATCACTTAGATGGGGAATGGAGCTGCCATAGAAAGAATAAAAAAGTCTTTACGTTTAATTATGCATACTTGTGCCAAAAATGGATTTAAGAGCAGGGTGCGGCTTTTTAAAAGTATGAGAAATTGTTTCGATTTGAATAATTAGTTAGGAAGCGAAGTTTCATAACAAAAAAACTAGCATAAGACGATTAATAGAAGCTTTTTATGTTACATTCCCCCTCTCAGAAAAATTTTAACTAATGTCTAAAAATTTCAAAATTTATCCATTTGCAAAGCTTTCCCTATGATAACACACTTAGAATGAAAAAAAAATTGTGATATCAACAAGATATAAAGTAACATGAATTATAAAAAATACACATTTGTACACAATACAAAAAAAAAATTTCATAATGTCTTCGAGGAAGAAAAACAAATTTTGTAGTAGCGCTACCATCAAATTGAAGTGTTAGATCTTCATTTTCAATAGTTTTTGTGATTTAAGATTTTTCAGTCCTTTTTGAAAATCACAATAAATAAAGATATTCCTCATACTAACACAATTTAAGTAAACTTTTCACTTAGGATAAGAAAATCGATAAAAAATTTCTTAAAAATTTAAATATTCAGAAACATGAACGATAAATAATTTGAAAATACAAGTGATATGAGATATAAAAATACAAATTGACACTTTTTGTCAAAAAAAATTTCAATCTGAAATTGGAAACACTTTCTCATACTTTTAAAAAACTACATCCTGTTCTTAAATCTATTTTTGGCACAAGTATGCATAACTAAGCGTAAAGACTTTTTTTCCCTTTTCTCTTTGTGGGAATCACGCGAGCTTTTTCTTAAATCAATAGTAATTCCTAAGATTTCCCAAAAATGTAGCAAAATAGAGGGAAATTCATTTGCTACTTTCCCTAGGATAAAAACAAGCACACAATTTTGGAGCGCGAATTTGAGCTCCGCCTTTAATAGAAAATGTTTTGAATATACTATCTGAAGCTAATAAAATATTTTTTGCCTTCCAATTACTATCTGCGAGGCCTAACAACACTCACCATGACTGCTACCCTTTCATATATATATATATATATATATATATATATATAAAGTTGTTGAACAGTCGA